TTATTTGCTTCCAATTCTTTGCTACCAGAAAAATTGCTGTTATGAATATTTTAATGTATATTGTCTTCTCTCTCTCTCTCTTCCTCTTTCTCCCCCTCTCCCTCTCTCTCCCTTCCTCCTCCTCCCTCCTGCTCCCCCTCTCTCCTACCTTTCTTTCTGTCCCCCCTTCCCTCTCTCTTTCCCCTAAATTGCTTTCCAGAGTGGCTGGACTAATTCATAGCTCAAGCAACATTACTTTAGTGTGCATATTTTTCTGTAGTCCCTCTAACATTGATTGTTGTCATTTTTTGAGTCATCTTTGCAAATGTACTGGGTATGAAGTGAAACCTCATTGTTGTTTTGATTTCCAGTTTTCTTATTAGCTGGAACAAACTTGTAATAGCTCGAGTCTAAAGTAAGAAAAAAATTCAGGAATGTTCCAGGAAAATTTTGCTGTTTTTAATATATTTCTTATTTTGTTCTATTATTAACCTTTCTCTTTTCAGCAGCAAAAATCATTTGGGAAAAGTTCAAGTATAAGGAGTGGCAAGTTTTAAGTGTAAGAGTTCTGAAATACATAGGACCAGTTTTTCGTTGTGCATCGTTTAGCTGAAAAATTGAAGTTTTGTGGTATGGTGGAAGCACATTGGACTAGAAAGGAGAAGACTTGGATCTAGCCCCAATTTTTCCTCTAACTAGTTGTATGACCTTGAACAAGTCAATCATCTTCTTAGGAACTCAATTTCCTTACCTGCAAAATGAGCAATTTGGATTAGATCATCTTGATTGTCCCTTCCATTTCTAATTCCTGTGTTTTTTGTGAAATTTTTTATTTTTAAATTCTCCTGAATTCCTGCTTCCCTTTGCAAGGAAACATTACTTTTTACAACTTTTAAAAATTTTTCAGTACTTTCCAGAGTAGAAGATTGGCTTAATACCTTATCCTGTCTCTGGATAAATGAGTTTATTTTTATCATCTAAAAATCATCTAGCAAAAGTATTATTATACCAAATCTATATAAAATGATAAAAAGCATTATAAGGAATTTAAGGAATCAGGAGATACTGTGGCATAGTGAAAACTGACTTTGGAGTCATTGGACCTGGAGTTTGAATCCCACTTTATTTTTTTAATAAGGGATTGGAAATGTTTATTTGTTTGTTTATTTGTAAATAGCATTCTTTCCAATTACGTGTAAAGACAGTTTTCAACATTCATTTTTTATAAGATTTTGCATTTCAATTTTTTTCTCCTTCCCTCCATCCTATCCCCTCTCCCCAAGACATCAAGCAATTTGATATAAGTTGTACACATGCAATTATGTAAACATATTTCCACATTAGTCATGTTGTGAAAGAAGAAACCAAACAAAAGGGAAAAGCCATAAAAAACAAAAACAAAATTCAGACTCCGTAGTTCTTTCTGTGGATGTGGATAGCATTTTCCATCATGAGTCTTTTGGAATTGTCTTGGGTCAGAGAAGAGTTAAATCAATCCTAGTTGATCATCATACAATGTTACTGTTACTGTTTGCAGTGTTCTCCTGGTTCTGCTTACTTCACTCAGCATCAGTTCATGTAAGTCTTTCTAGGGTTTTCTGAAATCTTCCTACTCATCATTTCTTTTTTTTTTTTAACTTTTAATGAGGTAATTGAGGTTAAGTGACTTGCCCAGAGTCACACAGCTAGGAAGTAGTATGTGTCTGAGGCTGGATTTGAACTCAGGTTCTCCTGACTCCAGGGCCAGTGCTCTATGCACTGTGCCACCTAGCTGCCCACTGCTCATCATTTCTTATAGCACAATAATATTCCATCACAATCATATACTGCAGTCTGTTCAGCCATTCCCCAATTGATAGGCATCCCCTCAGTTGCCAGTTTTTTGCCACCACAAAAAGAGCTGCTACAAATATTTTTTACATTTTGTCCCTTTTTTATAATCTCTTTGGGATACAGACCTAGTAGTAGTATTGCTGGATCGAAGGGTATGCACAGTTTTTTAACCCTTTGGGCATAGTTGAATCACACTTTAGACACTAACTGTGTGACTCTGGGCAAATCATTTAAGCTCTGGGTCTCAGTTTCCTTGTCTCTAAAATGAGGGATTTGGATTAAAAGACCTTTAAAGTTCTATTCATCTCTAAATCCATGATCCTAATCAGAAGAGAGAAGGAAAACTTAAAGAGAGATGTGTTAGACATCATACTTCCCTTCCTGGTCACGAAAACTGTATATTGGCATTGTGGCTTTATGATATTGTAAAAAGTCTAAGATAGGACTTTGGACATCTGTTTCTAAGGTTGGGAGGGGGTGATTTCTACGAGTGATTTGTTACCTCATGGCCATGAAGAAGTGGGTGTAGCTATAGCTGGACCGGAGAGGTTTGATATATTATATGTTCATTGCACCTGTAGTTAAGGCCTGTCAGAAACTGGGAGTCCAAAAGTGGTACCAGTTTTAATATCAGAAGTAAAAAGTTCAGTGCCTAGTTTCCAGAGATCTAAAACAACAGGGCTATGTAGATAGACTTGGTTTAGACTACAGCACTACTTAAAGGGAAACAATCTGGGTTTCACATAAAGAATGAGCTAGCATAATGACTAAATGGATGCCAGTAGGATGAGATAAGAACAGGATATTAGAGAAAGAAGGTCAGACATAGACATCAAAGAATATTAGTATACTTTTGAATTTCTACTGTCTTATTCTTCCTAAAATAGTTTTACTTCACCCCCTGCCCCAGTTCCTTAGTAAACTGTTTCTTTGACCTTGTTCCAGTTGAATTGAGGATTATTAAATTAGCTTGCTGGCACCAAGATCAGAGAGTCAAAGGAAGGCTTCAAATTCCCTCAAGATGCTCTGTTGTAGTCTAGTAGCAGGATGAGAGAAAGGAGAAATTCATTTATATAAAACCTTACAATTTACAAAGTGCTTTCTCACAACAATACCATGAGGAATCTTTAAAGAGGTATAAAAATGCTAGTTGTAATTAGAGAGCATAAAAATTATCTCCATCTTGCCAATGAGGAAGCAGGCCCAGGTACAGAGAACTCTTTGCCCATAATCACACCTCTTAAGTATCAGAGCCAGTGCTTTGACCCAGCTCTCCAAATCTAGTACATTTTTCATTATCCCATGCTGACCTCAGAAGGAAGAAACACTATCAGGGTGGGGTGGGACAGAGGGAGAGGATTTCATTTGTGGAAACTGTTCCGGGCCTGCCAGGGGAGATTTTTATACTGAGAAGAACCCAGGGAAGTTTAACTTCAGACAAGTGAAAAAATGAATTCTGATAACCAGACGTTACGTAGGCAAAAAGTTAACGTAGCGCTAAAGGGTGCACATTGCAGAGCATGAGAAATTATTGATGGAAATTATTAGTCTAAAATTAGTCTTATAAAACTTATAGTTAATTCTTCTGCCTAAGTTATGCTGAGGTGTGGTTAGCTTTCCTGGTTGCACACCTCTTAGATAACTCACTGACCTTGCTTTTCTAGTAAAACATGCCAAAAGAGTCTGCTTGATTCATATACCATAGATCCCATCTGTTGAAATCCAGCTAACTTGTTGTAACTTTTTGCTGCATAATAATCCTTTAGATGTATGTAAACTGTTGCAAAGGTTACTTGATTTTTAGTCTGGAAAAGCACTCTTTATGCCCTTTTGAGGGAAAAAAAAGCAAAATAAAGTAGGCAAAGGGAAGAATTAAATAATTTCATTGAATTTTAAAGTATAAATCTATTCCAGGAATGTATTGGGGCCCCATAAGTGATCAGGTTCAAAACTATTTCCTTAATGTGCTTAATGAGGTAAGAGGAATGTAGCCCTTCTTGAAGGAGCTGATCTGGTAGACAGCTTTTTTTTTTTCAGGGTAGGGTGGCTTTATTGGAGTTACTTAGTCACAAATCAGAGAGTTCACATTCCCTGAATCCTGATTTGAATCACATCAAACTGTCTGAGGAAATACTGAAAGGATATTCCTATGATGTGTAGGACAGTTGAAATCCATTTGTAAGAGGGAGGAGAAGAAATTCTAATCATTGCATCACTGAACTTTTTTTTCGGGCTCCTTTTGGCCAATAAATCAACGCCCCCCCACTCCCCCCCCCACACACACATTGAGCCATTGCTAGGAATGAAGACAATTCAGTTCACTGAAAGAGTCGTAAATTTGACAGGAAAGTCTGCTTTTGAATCAGGTCTTACCTGTTGAAGATTGTTGGCAAGATTATTTTGAGTCCTAGGACAATAGGAAGATGAAACACAGAATCTGGGAGTGGTTAAATAAGTAGTGAAATATCTCACATTTTCCTGCTTCAGCAAAAACAAAGTATCTTTGTGCTGGATGGAGCTCTGGGCTAGGTTTTAGGAGCAAAGCTAAAACTTTGACTTTGCTACCCATTTCTAACATTAAGGAAGGGCAAACATTAAACTCTGTATGAGGGAAAACAGTGTCTCCCTTGGTCCCAATTCGTCTTTTCCCCCACTCAAAAAGTAAACATACAAAAGCCTCAGAACAGACAAGTCAGACCCCTATGAAATTGGACAAGTTTCAGATACAGGTTTTTAAAAAATTATCCTTGTAACCATGAACCTACAATGTATTATCATCCAAGCACCAAGCTGGAGAAGCAGCTCACTACAACCTTCTACTACGGCATGTCATGTGCATCAATTGAGGGAGTGCTAAACTGATGAGAAGTATTTTGAGATATGTTGAACTATGCAGTTGGTTATATATATGACATAGTTTAAGCCTGAGTTCTTGGAATGAGAGAATAAATTGGAAATGTTATTTTTAATCTACTTCTAACGTATATATCCCTTATCAAGTTGAGCATGGAGAAAGTATGGTTTATTTGCTTTCATGCTGACTTTTTTTTCCCCCTTAAATTTTCTGGCTTTGCTTTTGTGTTAGTTTTGCTTAACAGAATACTGGATTTTTAATGATTTTAATTTTTTGTGACTTGTGTGATGTTTTTTCTCTTTAATTTTTTCTTTCTTCTGACTATTCTACACAGGGCTGCCTCATATTGAGTGATGAACTGAACCATGCATCTCTAGTTCTTGGAGCAAGGTTGTCTGGAGCAACTATTAGAATCTTCAAACACAATAGTGAGTGGTTTCAATATTTTTTTGGTTAGTCTTATTTATTTAATTCTTCTTGATCAGTGGTTAACACAGGCTGGGAATCCCACTGCTTACACCAAGCATTAGAACTAGATTGGAAAATATAGAGGAAATAGCAGAATTTAAAGATGTTTCTATTCTTTTAGCGATTATTATCTTTTCAGTTAGATTATGGAAAAAGGCTGAAGGAGGGCCTTTTCTCCTAAAGTAATTATTCCCTTATGTTCTTTCTCCCCTTTGTTGTCCAGTTCTCCTTCATAGTGCAAAAATGGCAACATTTCTACATATAAATCATTTTATTGAAATTTTTTCCCTTTTGAAACGTAAAATAAACTTCTTAATTTTTTCCCTTCTGAATATATGAAAAACTAGAATAATTAGCACATTTTCATGTGGTTCCTTCTAACTTTTGATACTTTCTTGATGGCAACAGAAACTTTGGTTTCAACTCCAGAAAGCATACTTTTGAGAATTTTTTTGTATGTGTGGGTTAGTTATCATTTGGCTTGTTTGGAATGCATAACTTGAGGTTTAAACATACATACTCTGCTGCTTTATTGTTTTCTAATGCCATGTTTCTAACACCTGCCACCTTTCCATGTATCATCCTTTATGAAAATAGCAAAGTAATGTTTTCCCTTATATAGCTATATTTTTAAAAAGCTTTTTGTGACAGGGTGTACTTTTAACCCCACCCCACCCCCCTCCCTCCAGATTTTATGCTTTGCAGATTTTTTTCCCCTAGTTTATCTTGATGTGTATCAGACCCAACATAAGTATGAGGCTTATTGTGGTATTTAGAACTTTAAAACTAAATAAATCTAACATGAAAACTTCTTTTGCTCAGGAAAACTACAGTAATGGAAATGGCAGTTAAATTATTTCCCAGGCAACTGAACCTCTAGAAGGTGCAAATAGAAAAGCAAGAACTCAAGATGTTGAGTCCTTTGGAAATAATCTATACATAATTAGGCCCAATTTAAATTCCTGGCCCAGATGTAGTGTAGAGAGTGCTTTGTATTTCCCAGACTAAAATAATTCTTTTTTCCACATAAAGATTATTCCCTTAACAATTTTTAAAGAATCATTATCTCAGATCTCTAGAGAACATATAGACTGTTCCAAGGAAATATTGTACATATTTGAAGAATTTAGCAAACACTAATGCTTTGGTGGCTTTTAGTTAAACAAATAGTGTAACACTTAATTGTTTAATTCTTTGTTAAATATTTAATAAATAGTTTGTGGGTCTTTCTATATCCCTAGTTAGAGGTCATCTTTTTTGACTTGCCTGACACTTTGTGACATAATAACATATGTCTGACTTTTTTTTATCCATGTTAATAACTCCACGTAATTGGTCAAATCAAATATTTATCCCAATTGACTGCTAAGATGACTGAAAATATGGAATCAGTGATAGTACATTCTGGCAGGATGAGGAGCAACTGCAGACTAGCAGAGCAGACAGTCTCAACATAAAGAAAAGCTTCCTCATAACTAGAGCTATGCAGAATTGGAATAGATTTCCTTGGGAAGGAGTGGGTTCATCAACAAAGGCTGAATAGTAGTTACTTGCTGGGGAGATTGTACAGATATCATTCAAACTAAATGGCCTCCAAGATCCTATGATTCTGGTATCTTTTCAATTGCATACAAAGCTGACATTATTAACTCACTGTCAGCATTAGGACATGTGTTTTATTGTTGGGCGACATGGTGTGACATGGTGTGTTTGTATGTGTGTGTATGTATGTGCATGTGTGCATGTGTGTTTTAATTCCCACAATGGGATAGTGTACCTACATTGATCCATCCAGCCTCTGCATCAGCCTTTCTTGTGCATCCATTTGTGGGCTGGCTGACTGAGGTTATGGATGTAGACTGTGGGCATGGAACAGAGCAAAACTCTTAAAAGGAAATTAAATAAGAAACTTTGGTCTCATTTGATCAATTTCTGCTATTTAGAAGCTTATAGTCTCATAACCAGGCCTGAGTTAGCTCTAACCAATAGTAAAGTCATATTAATTGAGTCAATTAGGTCATATTAACTTAAGTAGGACCTCAGGAATTTCTGATGACATTCCCAATGAAAGATCTAATTCAAGCTGATCACCTTTCTCATCTTCCTCAGCATTATTACAATATGCCATTTCGGACAACTTTCTTGAATTAAAAAAAAATTATATATTCTTGGAATGAGTGAAGAAGAAAATTTGATGTGGAGTGTTATGATTCTTTTCTATTTCCTCTAGATATGCAAAGCCTGGAGAAGCTATTAAAAGACGCCATTGTGTATGGACAACCTCGAACTCGAAGGCCCTGGAAGAAAATACTCATCCTCGTAGAGGGAATATACAGGTAATCTTGCAGCCCTTCATCTTGGTGATAATATTCCATAAAATCATACACTAATAACAATAGCATTAACATTGATGACTTTACATAATGCTTTTATGTTTACACAGTGCTTTGCCTAATTATATTTAAATGATCCTGTCAGCCCTTTGAGGTAAGTACTATAAGTAAAAAAATTTTAAGCCGACCTGAGGTATCCTCTCATTTTACAGATAGGGAAATTGAGACTCAGATTGTGGACTGTATTTGCCTAAAGTTACACTGACACTTAGTGGCACAGCTGAGAGTATTACTCTTCTTCCCGTTCTGACTTCATCTCTCTTTTTTTTTTGCCACATTTTCTCCTTATCTCCCTTCTGTGTAGATGCAGTATTTGCTGACTACAGTTATGCTTGCTGGCAGCTTATTTCTTTTAAAAAAATCTTGTTTCAGATGTTTATTTCCTATGACCATACTCCCTCCTTTCCTACACACAATTTGTTTACTGTTTTTCATTACTTCCATCAAAAAATTTTTAAGATTTTAAATCTAGTGTTGACTCCTAGATATAAACTTGAAGAAAATCTGTTCTGACCTTTTTTCTTCCAAGGTAGAGTAACTTCTGTTGTTGACTGCTTATGAAAGATATGATTTCTTTCCCTAGAAGTCTGCAGAAAGATGGTATTCAAGTTGTTTAGCAATTGATATATTGTAATGTGGCATCTAAATCTGTGCTTAATACCATTATGTCATGAACTGTGCTTAGAAGCTATGATTGAATTCCTGCCTTAGAAAGGACTGCATTATGAGAGATAACATTTGAATTAAAATAGATGTTGAGGCTTCTTAGATACTTTTAAAAACCACAATAGTTGCAAAAAGGGTAAGCATTCAGTCATGAGGCCAAGACAAGTTTCAGTGTTCTTGTTGCTGCATATACAACAATCAGACTTTGTTCAAACGCCAATAAAGTTAGCAAACAGGAGCCAAAATACTAGCTTTCAGTTAAAATCTAAGTTTATGTATTCTGTTATCCTGTTTTGCCAGCATGGAAGGGTCAATTGTTCGCCTCCCCGAAGTGATTGCCCTTAAGAAGAAATACAAATCTTACCTGTATCTAGATGAAGCCCACAGCATTGGGGCCCTGGGCCCGACAGGTCGGGGTGTAGTAGAATACTTTGGTCTGAATCCTGAGGACGTGGATGTTATGATGGGGACATTCACAAAGAGCTTTGGAGCTGCTGGAGGATACATTGGAGGCAGGAAGGTAAATGTGGGTTAAGAAATGGGGAGCATGCTTGAAGCTAAAGATAATCTCTGTTGAGCAGTTGAGTGACATGTTGTTAGGACCTTGAGTAGCAATGCTGTGGGTATAAATTTGTTTCCTACTTGGATTTGCAGTACCAGGGAGCCTCACACTTTGGTTGTATGGTGAGTAACTCTCATATATCTTTGCTGAACTAAAGGTGCCTTCTGTTCTTTGTTTTTTATTCTTATAGCTTCTTCCCAAACTAAATGCTCATCTGAGGTACAGAGTGCACTGTAGTGTGCGAGAACACACACTGGTACTTCCTGTTTACAATGGACTTCTATTTGGTTTGAGTTGTGCTAGTGATCCTGGATGCAGAGGACTTTAGAAAGACCAATTGGGAATGAAATTATTTTGCTAGCTTTGGGGTTCCAGATGATGTGAGTTTCTCAGTTGGGTGTTAAGTTTTAACAGCAGGAATTTGGAAGAATCCAGCATTTTCCTGGTTTTGCCAGAATCAGTCTTTAAGTGACAACCAGCTAATGGTATCTCATAATAAGCACACGAGGTCTAAGTTAGGTTTTTTGTTTTTAATTTTGTCGAAGTACTCTTTCTGAAGAGGGTCATCTTTGGGAAACTGATCAATGTTTGAAAAGTTTTGCTTGCTGACCAGAAAGCTACAAAACAAAGCATTCAGTATTGCTTCCCATAATCCAAGATAGAGTGAAATTGAATTCTTATGCAGTTGAACTTTAGAATAAGTACATGTACTTTTTTATTTATTTGGTTCTCTTCTCATATGTGTGTATACACACATACACATTCCTTTTCTAGAAAATACATTTTCTTTTGGAAGGTAACTGGTTAAGGAAAAAGAAAAACAAGTTATGAAACCCTTGTATCTGGCAGACTCTATTCTTATTCCATGACTTTAACTGATTTTTTTTGCTGATTATATTTAGGTAGTTTCCTTTTTCATAATTTTTGCTGCACTTCATTCACGTGTGGATCTTCAGAGATTTGCTTAGTTCATAAAATGTTGAGTTTGAGATAGTAACAATATCTTACTTGTATACTGTTTAGGGGTTTTAAAGGATTAGTTTGTGGAGCTCAGGGTTAGATGTAAGTAGTAGCTTTGTCAAAATAGAAAGAATTGAACAGTGTACAGAGAGTGATCACAAATGACTGCCTGGGAAAGCCAGCCTAGTATTTTTAAGAATATGAGATGGCATGTTCTGCTGAGTTTAGACTTTGGAGGACATATCCTTCTGTGTTCCGACATGGGGAATAAAAAAATTCAACAAGCACCTAACCAGCAGAAGTAAGTGCAATAAATATTTAGTAAGTGCCTGCTAGATATGGTATCGTATGAAGGACTGGAGATAAAAACAAAACCAAAAATGAAGCTAGTCCTGTCCTTGAGAGTTCTGTATTCTACTGAACGTAAAAAACTATGGACACCATATACTTTCCAACATTTATTTTCCTGATTTTGGGGTCAATTCTTCTTGAACTATAACGGTAATAACTTTACATGTCAGCCTGACTTGTTGATTTAAGAGATCAGAATTGGTGACAATGAAGCCAAAAAATCTGTACTAGATGCCAATAGGATAGTTGTTTCATTGTTAAAGCCTTTAAAGCCAAGAGATGCCTCTAATTGTGTGTTTTTGCTGACTTTCTCAGGAACTGATAGACTATCTCCGAACACATTCTCATAGTGCCGTGTATGCCACATCATTGTCACCACCTGTTGTGGAACAAATCATCACCTCCATGAAATGTGTTATGGGTGAAGATGGCACTAACCTTGGTAAGTCTTTGTTTTATTATACAGTACCTGAGGTTGGAAGTTGCAATTATAGGGCAAATGTAATTTGCTGCCCTTCTTCCTGAACACGTTTTTTTTAAAAGGCAGTCTCTCACAGAATTCATTCTTGTAATCCTCAAGTATACCCAGTGCAGAATCAATGTATGCAAGGGTGTTATTTTCTAGACCTAGATAATCTAGCAGATGAGCCCTTTCAGGTACCAGTGAAGCTGGCTGACTTCCCATTGAGTGTGTTTATAGTCACATTAATTTTAGTGTCATAACTTTTAAAGTTACATCTCTTTCCAGTTTTGACTGATTGCAGTTGTGTGTTTGGTGATACTGTATTATGGGTATTGATATGTGATATGTAAGAGCTACTACTTCTCTAATTCAATGTCTTAGGCTTTCTTCATATAAATAGTAAAAGATAATTCAACCTTTGGCTCCAATTGTTCTCAGCTCTAATAAGATATTTGAATTTTGGGTTTTTTTTTTAATGTTTTGGACTAAATGTTGAAAGATTAATATGGTTTATGCTATTTGGTATAATTGTTGATCACTAGGGGGCAGTGTTGATTATACAATGCTTAGGGTCTTGGAATATAGCAGGTAAAACCTGTGTTCCTTTACCTGGTTGCCTTTTTTAGTACTTTGGAAACAATTTTGGCTTTAGTAAAAGTTGTCAGACCCACGATCTTTTGAAGTTTCAAAGAGGCAAACTTAGACTGGATGTCAGGACAACCTTCCTGCCCATCCAAACTATCGGAGAGTGGAATGGGCTGCCTCTGAAGGGATGCGTCCTCTTCCATCATAGTGATGACCGCTTATCAGATCTGTTATAGAAGAAATTCCTTTAGGGAAAGAGCTGGACTAGATACTTCTGAGGTCTCTTCTAGCTTTCAAATCTTGTGATTATGTATAAGCTGTCCACAAAGTGGAATTCATTTTGTATTACAAGGATGAGGAGATACTAAACGTGTTTTAAGTCTGAAAATGCATTAACAGAGGGGAGTGGAAAGAGCGTTGGACTTGGAATGAGGAAGCCCTGGATTCAAATCTTGCTTCCAATCCTTACCTATGAGGTGTTGGGCAATTAATTCACTTAGACTCTCTGAGCCTTGATTTCCTTGTCTGTAGGACTGGGACAAAAATACCTACAGTTCTTACCTCCCACTATTAAACAAGAAGTTGAATGTCAACTGCTTTGCAAAGCTTAAGGTGCTATTTAAATATCGATTATTATCATAGCTCAGTTGACTTATCTCTCTACAATTTTCAATTTAAATTCCTTAAAATAGAATTGTACATTGTTTTGAATTTGTCTGAGAATGGGAAAGTCCTTCAAATTAATTTTTGTTCAGTTGAAATGGCAAAGAGGACGCTTTCTGGTTTATCCCCCCTAATTCATTCAGATTTGAAATTTGTAAAGTTGTAGCATTCCTGTAAACAATATAAGTACTACATTAGTAGGAATTAAATTATACTTCCAAGACCTCTTTCATGTTTGTATTTCGTTGGTGTCCATACAATTCATATCTCACTTTCATTAAATCTAGTTGTTCGGGCATTTCAGACACTTCATAGGGAGCACTAGCATAGTATGTAGGCTCACATGTATAAAAACAAGTTTCGGTTTGCTACCTTAGTTGCTTGTTCCTTGTCTCCCATAATCTAGATCTATATAAAGCATTACTTGAGGTAAATTAAATATTTTTTGCTTAATAAGAGTGATGTGCCAGTGAAAGGGACAAGAAATATAGGGATGGAACAGAGGCCTTATAGTAATAGGAGTCCAGCAAATAATGATAAAAAAAATTAATCTCAAAGACATTTTTAAGACATTTTGAGATATTCTTGAGAACAAATATCATCACATTTTTGTCTTTGTAGAACCAGAGCCTAGCACAATATCTTACTTATAATAAGCATTTAATAGATGTTTGTTGAATTTAATTCACTCTAACAAATTTATTTTAGTCTCACATATATCCATCAGTTCCTTTGTTTGTCCTAATCATTTTTATTTCTGGCTGCTCAATAAAATGGGGAAACATAGTACAAGCAAAGGTTTTGCTAATCCAGTTGTGGCAGGTAGATTCACAGACTTTCTGCACAGAAATTTCTATGGAAATTAACTCGAAGTAAAGAAAAAGAAGTTATATTAAGTCACTTACTTTAACTTTAGATTTTAGGCATGTGAAATAATGTTTATTTCATGCTTTGTTAAAAGAGCATCTTTTGGGCAACTAAGTGGCACAGTGGATAGAGCACTGGCCCTGGATTCAGGAGGACCTGAGTTCAAATCTGACCTCAGACACATAACACTTACTAGCTATGTGATCCTGGGCAAGTAACTTAATGCCATTGCCTAACCAAAAAACTTAACAAATAACTAAATAAATAAAAATAAAATAAAAGACTATCTTCCTGTCTTCCTAATAAGAAGGAAGAAATGTGATCAGTACTATGCCACTTAAGTGAATTTACGAGCAGATGGTACCGTATGCTAATATTGGAGGGAGAGGGACTCTTAGGTCCCTTAGATATTAATATGTTGACTTTTTTTATGTTGAAAGATTAGAATTGGATATTAAATATTACTCCAAGCAATATTTTTAGGGATTGTTGTAAGGCAAAAAGGAACCCATAATTTAGACAGAAAGCAATATAATATAGTCTGGGCAAGATGACAGTTAAGAATGACCAAACATAGCATTCCTTATATCTAGTGTCACCTTATAGTCTTTAGATAAAGAGTAGTTAATGAGTCTTCTTTTGGGTTGATAACTTTTAGGAACAGTATCAAACATATCCTGCAGCAAGTCACTGGTACTTAAAATATGACTTGCTTAATTTTGGCCTGTGTGCGATTTCTTCTTCTTGGTTGAGCCGATCAGACTTTTTTAAAGGTATTGATCTTTTTATATCTACACATATGTGTGTGTGTGTGTGTGTGTGTGTGTGTGCATGTGTGTGTGTGTGTGTAAATATATATATATATATATATATATATATATATATATATATATAATGCATATATGTGTGTGTATGTGTGTTGGTGTGTATTTTGTTTCATTTATATATTTCATAGATCCATAAATTAAAATACTTTAAACTTTTATTTAGATCTTTCAAAGCTATTTGAAATTACTGGGGTTGCTTATCAGTTGTCCTAGTAGTATTACTCTTTTTAGTTTAATTTAAACTATAGCCAGTATTTAAAGTATCAAAGTTCATATTGTCCAGTACACCCTATTTACAAAATTTGAAATCTTCTTAATACTTTCTGTTAAGGAAGACAAATACATGTCTGCTTAGCAGAAGGAGAAGGAATATCATCAAAAGCAAGTCGCTTTAGATTACGCGGTGGTTTAAGGAGATCTTAGGAACATCTAGATCCCCTGTTCCTTATTCCATTGGCTTGAACCCTAAGATAATGCTCCATGCCTCATTTTTGTTCAATGTTATTTTAAATTAAAAAGAAAAATAATGAAAATGGCCATAGAGTCATTTCAAGACATGTCTTTTTATAGGGTGCCCTGTGTTGTGTTATGTTATTCTGCAAGATTATTAAACTTGTATAGTCTCCTGTAAACTAATTGTTTGTAATAAGTATTCCTTCCTTTGAGATCATTCCAGAAGTCTATCTCTAACCAAACAATATAAAAAGATAGCATGATTTTGTGTACTGGACTGATCATTTATAGATAAGACTGTAGGAATCAGTGAAGGAAATTATTGGTTGCTGTTTCATGATTATGTCACATCAATGAGCAAATTCTTACTTCTAAATTTTAGTACTCCCACCCAGCAGTTAGTTATGGAGCAATAGAATTGTACAAAGAGTGAATAAATGGAAATAATTTCTGTTGAAACAATGCAGCTTGCCTACTCTATACTTAATATGTTCTTACTAGTATTTTGATTGGTTAGAACCCTGAACCAAAAGTCTGTCTACCACTCTGATCTCACCAATAGCAGATATAGAGGAGATTTTTTATTTTGCAATTGCTCTACTTCATTCAATTCAATAAATATTTCTTAAGGATCTGCTATATACCAGGCCCTGAGCTAAGCCCTGGGGATACAAAAAGAGGACAAAGGCAGTCCCTGCCCTCAAGGGGACAAACTTTGACTATACTTGCATTGCTAAAATATCGTGCTTTCAGTCATGGTAATAAAGGGTCAGTCAAATTTTTTAACTTATTTGCTTTATTCTAAAAAGTTGAATTTTATTTAAAGACTGCAATAGTTATATAGTTGAAAGAAAAGGTTATAGGGGCCCATAAAGCTTCTGTCTTTGGAAAAGATATCACTTATTGTTAGGGGTTCTAAATTTGAAGTCCCTGATAAGTCTTACATATTTGATGCTCAGAAGGGTAGATGTGCCATCTTTCCTAAGCTAACTCTCCTTTTCATCTTAGTAGCACATTAGATATTCTTTGTGCATCCTCCTTTTTGAATTAAGAACATAGTTTTCAAGTAACGATTGGCCATTGTATCTTTTGGAAATTTTTCATTCTTAAAATTTTTGGGAAGTTGGTGGGGAAAAAGTGATCAAAACATGGGTAAAATTCCTAATTACAGGTCACTAAATATTTGAGGAAAAGACTGTTGAACCTGACTCAGAAATTGAACAAGCCATAAATCAACTACAAAAGAGGTCCCAGGGAAACTTGGTTTCCAGGGATTTAAAATAAAATACATCAAATACATAAGGAATAATTAATACCACTTCTACCAAAATCATTCTCAACAAGCAAGGGGGAAAGTACTGTACTAAAATCCTTTTATAGAACCAGCGGTCCTGATAACCAAAGAAATGGGTGATAAAGCAAATAGAGAAATGTTTCCCCATTTTACTAATGAATATTGAGTCAGAATTTTTAAATAAGATCTTAATATAAAAACTGCTGCAACAGATAAAAATTTGCTGTTGCCAAGTTGAATTTACAGTTATTGTTGTTTAGTTGTTTTGGTCATGTCTGACTCTTCGTGGT